CCATTCAGACATGCAAACACACACACAAAGAGCAGGAATTATCCTGTGAATGAAAGTCATAACAGTATGGGCTCATCTTAAGCCTTGCTTCACTTCTCTTCCCCAGAAGACAAAAATGTTACAATTATTATGAAGGAACGGCGCCCGATTCTCACATCCCCTGAACATTTATACTTTTTGTTTTTTGTCTCCTCTTTCATTCTCTTTTTCGCCTTTCATCCCCTCTCACTCTCCCTCCCTCCCTCCCCCTCCCTCCTTCTCTCCCTCCCTCCCTCCCTCCCTCCCTCCCTCCCTCCTTCTCTCCCTCCCTCCCTCCCTCCCTCCCTCCCTCCCTCCCCATGTCTTGAGCCTCCGAGGAAGTCGTCTTAGTGTCCGCTATATAAATATTGACTATTTCAACACCTACAGAGAGGAGGGAGAGAAAGGAGGGAGGTCCCCAGGACTATATGCGACTGAAAACTCACACCCCAGAAGTGACTCGGACCCATACTGCTCCTGGCAGTATGGGTTCAAATAGCTTTGGCTATCACTTCATTTTGTCCAGTCATGATGGTCAAGCGGATTAAGGCGTCCTGTAGTTACCAGTTGCGTTGCTCCTGGCAGTATGGGTTCGAGCCACTTCTGGGGTGTGAGTTTTCAGTCGCATATAGTCCTGGGGACCATTCAGGCTAGTTCGCATTTGTGTTCCTCACGTGTGCCCCAAAGAATGAGGTGATTTGATAAAATGCTATGCCCAAGATTACCATCCGAGTGCCAGCGGGGGAAGTGGTTCAAATAGCTTTGGCTATCACTTCCTTTTGTCCGGTCGTGATGGTCAAGCGGATTAAGGCGTCCTGTAGATACCAGTTGCGTTGCTCCTGGCAGTATGGGTTCGAGTCACTTCTGGGGTGTGAGTTTTCATTCATATATATATATATATATATATATATATATATATATATATATATATATATATTTATAACCGAAAACTCCACACTGCAGAAGGATTCGAACCCGGGGTGTGGAGTTTTGGGTTGGATTTAAGTAGCGGAGTTGAAGCATGGGTAGATGCCCGAGAGCTCAGACAGGGGCAGGTGGGAGTAACAGTTATATAGGATCAAATAAAGTGAAAAATATATATTATTATAAATGTAACTGTTTTCATAAGAACTTAATAAATGAATATTAAACATTTACATACAATTTAAATACTCTCCTGTATATTTAAGACTGTATAGTAAAACAATTACTTGCCCGAAACGCTATGCATATTAGTGGCTTTAGGTATTGTCTGTACTAGCTCTATCTACAAATCCAACATTGAAATTGAAATTGAAATAAGTTTATTGAGGTAAAATACACACAAAGGGATGAGGTAGCTCAAGCTATTCTCACCCCATTCAGTACCACGTGTTAATATATACATAGACACACATCACAAATAAACATATTACCAAACATTCTGAGAGGTAAACATATACATTTCCTCCCTCACAAGTAGTATGGTATCAGACGTACACACAAATACTTTTATGTAATCCAACATTATGTTTGTATTTTTTTAACTCATCTTCTATGAGTTACAAGATGAGTTAAAAAAAACATTTGATGAAGATACAAACTTCTATGTATGTAGTCTTACCTCAATAAAAATTTGAATTTGAATTATTTCGCGGTAAAACCGATGGAGATTTTTTTCGGCTAAAAGTGCAGGATGAAAGGCCTCGTTGGCGGTAATTAGTGGGTGTTGTTGACGTGGTTGTCATGACGACGGTGCTCGCCTCAACCCCCTTAACTGCTCCACCAGATCATATTGAAATATTTCCCACTGTCGGCTAAGTTACGGGCTCACCATAGCCCGTGCTACTTGGAACTTGTTCCGAGTAGCTGAATCTATAACAACAACCCTGTCGGGGACAGGAAGCCTGTACCTAGTCTTACAGATCAGGTCTCACTAAGCCTACTGCTAACCTTTCTTAATTACCTACAATTGTCTAATTCCTAGAGGCCTAGAGGTGAACAGAGGCATCAGGTGATATGAAACATGCCCAGCTATTTCTGTCTTGCCCGGAGACTCAACTCGGGTCCCTCGATTGAGGACATAAATAATAGTAATGAGAGTACCAAAGGTCGTGAGACAGGTACTGTCCATGACGTCACGGTGGTGGGCGGGGCGTGAGACAGGTACTGCCCATGACGTCACGGTGGTGGGCGGGGCGTGAGACAGGTACTGTCCATGACGTCACGGTGGTGGGCGGGGCGTGAGACAGGTACTGCCCATGACGTCACGGTGGTGGGCGGGGCGTGAGACAGGTACTGACCATGACGTCACGGAGGTGGGCGGGGCGTGAGACAGGTACTGACCATGACGTCACGGTGGTGGGCGGGGCTAAATGGCTAACCAAGAATGCAACTCCCACAACAGTTGCCTAACTCCCTTTTTACCTATTCACTACCAGGTGAACACAGGCATCAGATGAAAGAAAACAAGCCCAACGGACTCGATCCTCTCCGGGGGGGGGATCGAATCTGGGATTCTGGGTTGTGAGCGGAGAACGCAGACCACTGCGCCACAGAAGCCATATAATATCGTAGTAGTGTTTGTACCCAAACAGGAATCCCAAGGGCAGAAGTACTGCCCTACGCTCCCCTGGGGGGTAGGGGGAGGATTGAGGGAAGGGGGAGGGGGTGTGGGGGAGGGGGCTGGGGGGAGGGGAAGGGAGATGGGTAAGGATGTTCCTGTGTGACTTTCCTTCACCTTACAAGCCGTATTTTGTAACGGGAATGGAGCAATAGGTCACAATTAGGGCGTTGTGTGTGTTAGAGGCGGGTGATGCTGCATCTCTGCCCCCACTCATCTCCCAGACCCACGCTAGACCTGGCATGCTACACCACACTGGAAGGTCTCCTATATGAGGCCTGGTCGACGACCGGGCCGCGGGGACGCTAAGCCCCGGAAGCACCTCAAGGTAGGCTTGACACCAGCGCAGAATAACACTGCCTCGTAGCCAACACTTCCTAATGCCCAGAGTGGTGGCTCCTATACACCAAAATATAAGTATAAGCACACCGTATAAGTGAGCAAGGGACAGATATGATGAGGCTACGCTACTTCATCATATTTGTTTATATGATGAAGCATTTGCCCCTTCGCGGCAATTGGCAGAGAAAGAAATAATAATCATACTTCATTGTACTTCATTGTGTCGGGGTATTGAGCGCCGTAACGCGCTCAACCATTTCTGCCCCGCCCGGGATTCGAACCCAGAGTTCTTGATTGTGAGTCGAGAACGATGGTATCTCCCATACCATCTCCAAGTCCATAGTTTAACGTTCCATACTCTGTAAATATTATTATTATAGCACCACATGAAGAATGGAATGAGGCTTCTTCTTTCATGCCAGTGTCAGAAGGTCTCTCTCTCTCTCTCTCTTTCTCTCTCTCTCTCTCTCTCTCTCTCTCGCTTCCCCAGTAATCCTGCTCCTCTCCCCCCCCCACCAAAGGGGATTTACGCCCACAGTCACTTGAGAGTTCCTGTCGTCTGTAATCCCTAGGTAAATCCTGGTAAGACTGTGACAATGGCTTCAGTTTTCTTGCTTCATGTGATCGCTTGTGTGTGTATGTTGTGTCTTCTCTCTGCTGTTTGCAGAATTGAGCAATTAGCTCTTGGACTCCGCCTTTTTAACCAATCTAATTTTCCTCTATTAAGTCTATTACATATATATATCTCTGACACACACGCGCACACATCCCCAGGAAGCAGCCCGTAGCAGATGTCTAACTCCCAGGTATCTATTTACTGCTAGATGAACAGGTACATCAGGGTGAAAGAAACTCTGCCCATTTGTTTCCGCCTATGCCGGGGATCGAACCCGGAACCTTAGGACTACGAATCCCGAGCGCTGTCCACTCAGCAGTCCACTGGAGCACCCTATCAGCTACTCTTCCCTGTGTCTCCAGTTTATGCACCAGCCTCTTATGGGGTACTGTGTCAAAGGCTTTCAGTTAGTCCAAGAAAATGCAATCTGCTCATCCTTCTCTTTCTTGTTTAATCGTTTTCACCTGATCGTATAATTCTATTTTTTCTATTTTCAGAGGCTCTAAGCCTTTGGCTGGCCCACTAGTATAATTCTATTAAGCCAGTAAGGCAAGATTTACCATCCCTGAACCCATGTTGATGGGTTGTCACGAAGTCCCTTCTCTCCAGATGTGTTACTAGGTTTTTTCTCACGATCTTCTCCATCACCTTGCATGGTATACAA